TTCACTATAAGCATTTGTCTTCATATTTTTTAATTTTATTGATGTTAAATGTTAAGCATAAATTATCAAAGGCATTGTTTATTAGTGAAGATGACTTTATTGGATATGTTAACTATGGAGATGAGAATGAGGACATAGTTGCTTCAGAGGTGTTGGTTTTTTATGTTGTTGGTCTGAGAGAAGCTTGGAGGCATTAAATAGCTTATTTTTATACAAATAAATTATCATCTCACAAGTTGAAAGATTTTATAGAGAAAGCCATTGATAAGTTATATAATGCTGGAGTTAGGGTAAACAACATTTGTTTTTCTTATGTTAAAATTTTTATACATTATATTTATTTTTTAGGGTTGTTTCACTGGTAATGGATGGGTTGGTCACTAAAGTTTCGGCATGTGGATTGCTTGGATGCTCTTTCACATTTCCAAACATGCAAACAAGTTTCTTGTCCCCAACAACCGGCCAGAAAATATATATCATGTTTGATGCATGCCACATGCTGAAATTAATGAAGAATATGTTTCATTCTTATATGATATTTTATAATAATAATCCAATCAAATGGAATCATATCGTAAACTTAGTTAATTATCAGCAACAAATCAAAATGAAACTAAAAAATAAATTAACCAAAAATTGTGTAAATTTTGAAAAGCATAAGATGAAAGTTAAATATGCATCTCGAGTCTTTAGTTGCTCTGCAGCTAAATCACTGGAACTCTTAAACGGATTTTATGTTTTTTTCTGACGTTTCTGAAACAATAGCTTTTGTGAAAAACATCAATGATCTTTTCCATATATTGAACAGCAAACTGGTGCCAGATAGAGAATGGAAGCAATCCATTACAAAGAGCAACCTGACAGCCACTATAGATAAACTTTATGAAATGAAAGCCTACTTACTAAGTTTGAAAAATTTAGATGGTGTTACATTTACAAAACTCAAAGGTTTTTTTTATATATCTCAATATCTAAACTAAAACTTAATTAAAAATAATTTCATAAAAATGTGCATAAATTGGCTTGGACAATTGACATATCCCTCAAAAGGAGTATTAAAAGTAAAACGATACATTTATTTATTTTCTGGTAAAAACAATAAATTTTAATGATTTTCAGATCTGCCAAGAATCAGAAAGATTATTAAAAATAAATAATTATTGTTTTAAGAAAAAACTTGTAATTGAAAGCAACATACTCCCACAATGTGTCAACGAAGATTTATTTAACATGGAAAGTCATTTCAATGATGTACAGAATGCAAACCACTATTATGAATTAATAAAAAAAATAATAACATCATGTACAACATTAAGACGTTTTAACTTAACTAAAGAGTTTTCTATCAACATGCAGTTTTAATAAAAGTAAATTAAATAATAAAATGGAACGAAAATTATACTATTTAAATTTATTAAATCAATTGTTTTATTAAATTTGTACAGTGCTTCTAATAGATTACATCAGAAGCAAATTCTACAACCTTTTATCTTTTTATATATATATTTTACTTTTCAAGATAGTTGAAA